TTAATAAAATAACTTCCATCCAGGTTATACTGTATTTAACACTGTAATAGTCACCTCTTTCTGAATGTTCTATATTAGTCACCTCTTTGTGACCCATCACCTTGAAGGAACTTGTAGTTATATGAGGTAAAATATACAGCACATAATAAAAGAGGACCATCTTGACACTACAGTTAACTAATCCAAGCATACATTATTCCCACATAGTACTGTACTACATAAAAAAAATACAAGTAGACTCGAGATATAGTATTACAAATAAAAGGACGGACATGCAAATATATAAATGTTCTGATGTTTTCATTATATGGTACAAATGTTATTAACTAAGAACGTGCTATGGTCACACAAAGATGTTAAAAGCAAAAATTAGCTAAGTGTTAATATGTATACAAGATAAATTAGATGAAAAGATCATGCATTTATATGTTGGAGTTTTTATGAAGCATTAAAAGGTACATATCATGCACTAGCCCGGGAAGCTGCCGTACATTCATGCGCTGTCCCACAATCAAGATTACCCTTACCAACATCCGAGCCGGGGTGGCTGCTGGAACAAACCTCCACGGCGGGGACGATCCTCCGAGTTCCAACTGGTCAAAAGACAGCCCACATACAGTATACCAAACAAACGTGCCATAACTCATGACTGTCAGACTTATACACCAGTACAACTGCCAGATGATGTGATATTTTACAAGACTCAAATGACAATATGCAACTGACATATAAGCCTTCATATACACAGCTATGTGGAACATCCTATTCCAGTCAATTATCAAGAGCAGCTAAGGCTGTGCTAATTACAGTGGTAATGACATGTGGTACACCACAGTATAGTCTTCTCTATCTTGTATCATTGAATGGGTCCATAAAGTTCCACATGAAAAAGTCAACAGGTTCAAAGTCACTGATCAGCAAGCTTTAAAATTAGTCAGAACTCAAAAGGCATATACTGTACAGTACTTTATCTAAAGAATATAGCACAATTAATTGTTAGTATTGCAACTGTCAAAGTACAGTGCAAATTTATCATAAACAGCCTAGATATGGAGTCAATTTCAGTTAGTTAATGTTATACTACCTTACACAAACAATGAATCAGCTACAGGACACCTGGGTATGTAGTCCCTACTGACATTTTTCCTTTTATTGTCACACATACATGGTCATCATTACATTGGGGTTGTGATCATAATGAAATTTTAAAAGGTCTTTCTGCTCAAATCCAGGGCTTAATTCACAAAGTCTTGATAAAAACCTTTCATCAGTTTTAAAAAGAACAACTAAGAAGCATGGCTCTTGAATATATATAACAAGTTAAATGGATAATATCACTACAGTATGAATACATCTGTCTATTGTTCAACAGTCACAACAAAAGGTGATGAACAAATAATCTTACTGAATACTTGGCACTTACACATATTGACATTTCCAGACTAAAATGACATAAAATAACTGCAACTTGGCTAACAATTATTTTACTGAATCACTTACCTACTGCTTAAAGAAAGTATGAAAGAAACTTTCTGAAGTAGTAAGACAACTAGAAACAGAAGTGCAAGAAATGACAGAAAAATGGACAATGAAAGAAATCATGGGATAGAGTGGAACTTGACAAATTAATAAAGGCACAGAGTAAGAATGGCTGAGAGAAAAGATAACACATGGGACTACATACAGTATCTCTGACAATGTTTTTATACCTTCTAGAGAGGCCTCTTCATCAGTTACAAACTTTACATTTAAAAATAATTGCAATAAAGAGTTTCTCTAGTCCAAACTTTTCTCTTAACAACACTATTGGTTATCTTCATAGCAACAGGTCAATTATGTAACTCTTCTACTATACACAGTACAGTACAGTACAGTACTATATTTCAATCAAATTAAAAAAAAAATGCTTTTCATTAACAGTATACAGTACAGTATGTACTATACAGTACTGTAGTTACTACTTGTTATACCTGCATGAATCTTCATTATGTAGATTAATATAGTCTTTTTGCCCCCGGCCCAATTGTGGGTCGATGACCTGTGCCTGGGTGGACTTTTCATTCACCCCTTATCATTAAACATCTGTCCTAAAACCTATGGGAGTCACTAAAAAAGAGTAATTTTCATCTGGAGATGACAGAGGAGGAAGATGGTAATTAAGTACAGTAAACTCCTACTAAACCAGAAATCAGAATACCCACACCCTACCTCCCCCATCCACACTTTTGTTGAAAAACTATAAAATTTGGAAATACTTATCACCTTTATCACAGTGGCAGGTGCAAATAGTTGTGGTGGTTGTGTAAGGCCAAAATGAGTTCATAATCGGACAAGAATTGCTGATAATTAAAAATAATATTGTAGTCTCCAACACAAATTTGGAGATATCACCTGAGCCATTCCAAGAGTGACTAATTACCCCTTTCCTTGGTCTGAGTAAATAAGGATAATAATGACCTGGAGTGAGTCGACAGTAAAACAGACGCTGTTGGATAGGGGAACTTAAGACCTGTTGGGAGATATTGCACTCAACATCTTTCATGTGGTTGTCAGAAACCCTTGAAAGACTCCATTAAGATATACAGTATTGTTGAATATAATGAAGAATATAATAATCCCCCATAAGAGGATATTATGTGCAAACAAGACTAATCCTCAGGAGGATAACAGTGTGTGCACTTCAGAAATATAACTTTTCTGAAATTATTTTTCAGACTAGAGTATACTATACCCTCCAAGGGAACCAGTACATTATATCCTCTTAGTGGCCTTAAACTAGACCCCAAGTGAAGCTAAGTTAAGTGTTTTGAAGTGAGACCATGGCCAAGGACTGGGTGGGTCACAACACAGCCTGCCCACAATTTATCGCTAAAGCCATTAACAAACTGTGATTCTCTTGCAACACAACAAAAACACCCAAAATATAATTCCATACTAACACTGCATGGTAACCTGTCTACCCATAAAAGTGTCAATAATATGTTATAAGAAGCCAGTAGCTGCAAAAACGTGGAGTAATCCAGAAAACCCTTCACCAGGTAACTGGAGCTGAGTAAGGTGGTACTGTACTACTGTCCATTAGTAACCATAGCAACAAATTATTGAGTTAATACAGCTTTTATATGATGTTTCCAAATACTGTACCACCTCTTTGTGGGCCACAGTTAGGCTACTGGCAAAGTACTACACTGAAGAAAATACTAAAGGCTGTGACTCTTGAGACAGCAATGATAATGTGGACACCCCTCCATATCTCACTGATTAGAACCCTCACTTAACCAACCCCTACTCCCACTCTCCCCTGGTGAAAGGTGAGCCTTTGCTTGTGAAGACCTCAATGCCATATTATGATGTCATAGTTGAGTTTATCCTGGACTTTTATGTTCTCACAATGACCTGACCCAATTTTGTGATATAGCCTCAGTGATATCACAGCTTATTCCTTCTCTTTCTATTGGTCTATTCTCACAATGACCTAACCAAAGTCAGTATAAAAAAAAGCTGCCACTGATTGCTGTGTAAACAGTGTTGTGACACACTGAACATGAATAAGGGGCAAGGAAAACTAACCAGGTGAGGGTAAACGGCCTTTAGGTGGACACAAGTGATTGGTGAGGTGATACACACAATACATTTGTCAGGGTAAGTAAAAAAAATATGTTCCACATTATCTACACAACCTGGCATCCTAAGTGTCAAGTGAGGTATTACTGTAGTCTAACCACCTTCTATCATTCCCACTTCCAGTACTGTACTCCATATATAATACTTAGTTTTTTCTACAGAACCTATTTTGGCACACAATATTGTTTCAATTGCTCTACATGTCTTTTAAGTCCTGGTACAGTACAGTTCTCCTCATCAACTTCTACATCTCCTCCTCGTATTTAAATATTCATTACAGGTATTCAGGCTTTTCCACAAGCCATCTTGCATACCCTACTTTGAGCTTAATCCATAATATTCTGGAAGTGGCCCCTTTGTATCCTGTACATTTCATATGTCAACAGTAAAGCCACAACTTCCTTCAAATTTAACTACCTATTCACACACTCCTTTATCTTCCTTTACCCTCCAAATGTGTTATATATGAACTCATGTTTAAGGAGATGGTCTAACAAAACTTCAGTGCTCATCACTATTAAATAAATAAATGTCAATGTAACAATACAGACCATTTTTGTTTTCTAGTCCAAAAATTAGAAAAGTCAATTTGGACCTCATGGCAACCATAAACCTTCTTTATACCTGTTATCCCCATTACCTTTACTAATTTATAAGAACAAGTAAAGATGAAAAGAGGAAATAAATAAGGAAACCAAGATAAAGCTCATTTGTTATCAAGGATATTCTGGGGAACTGTCAAGAAGATACAAGACAAAATACTAAATTTGACAAAAAAGTTTTACTTAATGCAAATTATTTAGTATCATTTCTGAAAACTCCTCCCATACTATAAGAGCCAACTGTAAACTTTGACCATATGCATGTTAATGCATATGTGCTATGCTAAATGCCAAGAGCTAAATACAGGGGGAAAAATCCAATCTTTAAATATAACATATACCTGTAAATCACACTGACATCAAAATCATAATCAACCTAGGTGCAAATTTTGTCCCAATTCAGAGTAACTTTTCTCTCTCCCACTGGCACACACCTTAACTAACACCCAAGTAACTTCTATATGTAATCAAAAGCTTTATAAGACATGGCCATATTATTTAATTTGAAGTAATTCATCTATGAAGGACTGTAATCTTAAAACACACAATTGGTAGAAACTTATAAGTCCATTGCACATCAATATTCTTGATGACATAGGCATTAGACTTGTGAATAACCACACCAATAAAATGTGATTGAGCAAGCATTATGTCAAGTGACTAAAGCAAATGTTTTGCTCAACTTAAGAAGATTTCAAACAAGTGATTGAGCAAGCAACCAGTGAAGTGAGGACAAACTGCAAGCAGCAAAATATAATGGGTAAGAAAACTCACCTTCCTACTTTCCAGTGAGCCGTCAGATGTGGACTCTCGTCTCTGGGTCGTTTTTAGCTTGCCCAACTCAGACGGCGAGGACGACTCCACCACCTGTCCCTCCAGCACTTGTGGGTACTGCTTCTTCAACAGGGTCAGACCTTCGATGAAATAAGGGCCATACAAGTCACCAAGCTTACATGAATGACTAAAGTTTTTGCACAGTGAGCAATACCAGGAGGTATCTTTGGAGAAGGCATCATAATTGTTATGAAGTGTACTGTTATAACCTACTTTGGCAGTCTTCTGCTTAGCTTCAATTTTGCAGTAAAATTGGATATTTGTTTTCCTCATTGGTTTTTCTAGTTCATCCTCATCTCTATGAGGGGCGTTGACAATTACCTCTCTACATCTACTCTCGTCTAATCGAATAAATGGCCCACGTTTCTCATACACTTCACTCTTCTTCCTCCCCTCTTCGTTTTCTTTTCTTACTTCTACATCATCATTTCTAAACTTATTATTTTTAATTTTCCCTTTAATTACTTTTCCTTTCTTGGCACTAGAAGCATCAGCTTTCATCTTTTTACCTTTGTCTTTTTTGAGTCCCTTCTGCTTGGTAGGGCCCCCCTTACCATGTTTCAGGGCTGTTGGCACAAAGTCATTATCACCAATATCACTAGCCATAGTCAGGAGATTACTTAAGGTACCACTTCCTCTACTCTCCCTTTCACAATCATCACTGGAATCAAAGTCATCAAACTCTCCGTCATCATTACCCTCACTATCTCCCCCATCATCACTTTCAGCCATACTGTCAAAATTCTCCAAGTCCTTAGGGACATAATCCTCATCTTCACTCTCTTCATCCTCCATATTGAGAAGTATCAAAAGATCATTCATCTCATTTTCATCCATCTTCCTTGGTGGACGAGAAGATCTTTTGGGGCGCTTGTCTACATAACTTTCCTCAGTAGATGCAGGAATGCTTGAAGCAGTCTCCTCCAGAAACTTGGCTATATTCTCAACAGTTTCTGCATCTACATCTACATCAGTGCCCTGAGGGACCTCCAAGACTTCTGGATGAATAACTGGCATACTTGATACCTCTGGAGTATCTAATGTAACAGTAGACTTTTTACTTGGCTCTACAGCACTTGGGCCTACATCAGAATTGTTCTCTGGACATGACATCTCTGGTTTGTCTGATGGTTCTTGTGTATTTAAATTTGTGCTTGAGGTCTGTGATTTTGCTTCCTGGGTCTCAGATATTACATCCTGGGTTTTGGATTGTACATCCTGAGTTTCTATTTTTGTATTCTGAGTCTCTATTTTTATTTCCCCCATCTCCAAAACTGTGTCATTAACTTCAGATTTTGCAACTTGTGTTTCTGTCTCTGCACCTAAGGCATCAGATTTAGCATCTGATGCCTCAGACTTTGTATCTTTGGCTTCAGTGTTCACATCCACTGTCTCAGATTTTGCATCCTGAGCCTCAGATTTTGCATCTTGGGTTTCAGACTTTGCATCCTGTTTGGCACTTGCCCTTCTAGTTCTCAGTCTTCTTCCTCGAGATTCCATCTCCTCCATTGCTTGTGTTATCACAGTTGTAGTTTCTTCTGAGGAATTGTGACAAGATGCCAAATCAGGTCCATTAAAAGTCCCATCAATAGATAGGAAGTTGTTTTGTACCAGTTGAAAGTCGGCACCCCGTTTAGGCCTACTTTTACGTGGAGTAGTATCAGATTTCTTAGCATCACTGACTAAAGATATAGGTATGCTTGTGCCTGATTCTTGAACAGGGGCTTTATCCTTAATATATGAATGCTCTCCTTCAGTGGTTGTTGTTCCACTAGGAGTCTTACTGTTGTCAAATGCATCTTCAGGTACATGTTGATACTGTTTGGTTTCATGTGGAAGCACACTGGTTACTTTACTGACATCATTCTTCTTTAGAGCACCTTTGCCCTTAAAGGATTTGCCAGCATTCTTTTTTCCCTTCCCCTCCTTTGGCCTTTGCCTTTGTTCCCACATTTTTTGAAGGTGAATCCTTCATTTCTGTTCCCTTACAAGATTTCACTCCATCCTCTGAAGCCGTTTCTGATTTTTCTGCATTTTTATCTAAGGTTGTTGCTAACTCTGTTTCACACTTGCTTGGGGCCTCTTCTGGAAGTTTGACAGGCTCCACTGCAGTTTTTGGTTCATCATTTTCTTGTGTGGGAACTGTTTGTGTTTCATTATTATCTGTCTGCTGGTCAGGAGCTTGTTCTGTACTTCTCCGATTTCTTTTTCTCATTCTACTACTTGGAGAATCACCTACTCCATCAACTGGTTGTGTCTCCACAGCTGCCATATCAAAAAACTTTTCTTCCTTATCTTCCTTGTTTTGTGCATTGCCCGAGATGAGCCCTGAGAAACATGTGTTATTTTTTGAGTTGCCAGACGGAGAAGATGGAAGGCTAGAGTCCATGGATTCATTACCCTTAACACTTACAATTTCCTGATCTCTAGTCTTATTCCTCCTACTACTCCTTCTTGGAGATACTACATCTGTATCTGGCTTTGTTGCATTATCTGCAACAGGAGTGTCACCAGTTGGAGAATCTTGTATAAGAACTTCTTCAGACAAGGAAATTGTCTTGCTGATATCTACAACACTCTCTTGCAAAAGATTGGGTGTTGCAGTGCCATCAGGCACTGGGATATCAGCAGGAGTTTTTGACAAATCTCTGATAGGCGGGGAGATGCCTCGAAGCCATTCCTTATTCCTCTCTGTAATGGGACTACGAGAACTAGAAAAAAACTTAGGCGACCTGGGAGATTTTGCATGTGGTTCTCTTGGTCTGGGACTTATACTTGATTTTGCCATCTCAAGTGGAGACTTTGCATTTTTTTTAGGGCTGCTTCCTTTCTTTCTACCACGCTTTCTTCCCCGACCAACACCATCACTGTCAGTGTCATTAAAGTCATAAACATCTGGGCTACATGAGGAGGGTGTAATGGGTGGTGGGCCAGGCACTCTTAAATCTGGTTCATGAATCAATGTTGTGTCCACATGCAGTGGTTCAGTAACACTTGAGAATTCTTGGGTACTCGATGCCATCAGTGCTACCTCTAGGAACTCCACGAAGGATTCCTCGTCCACGCCTAATACCCATAGGAGAGTTATGAGATGACTTTCCAGGTGAATCATCTAAGGAGTGGGTTGAAGGAGAACTTGGAGGTTCACTTGGAACCTGCTGCTCTGGGCTAGGATTGCTCTCCCCATCCAACCTATCCTTTGCATCTTTTGATCGACGACCTTTCTTTTTCAATGGAGTTGCATCGGGTGAAGAGTCCTCATTCATTTCCAGTACAGGATCTGTGCCATCCTCCACATATGAAATTGCCCTCTTTTGCCTAGTCCTTCTCTTAGTATCCCCACACTCCTCTAGCTGCCCATCAACAACTTGATAATCCATTTCTGTCACTGAATCACTTTCTGATTTTCTTTTTCTATTATTTTTCCTTGAACAATCAAACATTTCATGATCACCATTAAAATAATCCTGCTCACTTTTACCTAAACTTTTATGTATGACATTTTCAGAATCACAATTTTCTGTATTCACACTTAACAAAGATTGACTGTTGCTACTGCTACTACTGGCATTCTTCACCACATCCTCACTAGTTGCACTAACACCATTCACAGGAGTGCTCTCTACGCTAGGGCTTAAAGTATGTGCAGTACTGTTTTCACCTGACAAGTTAACACTTACACTTGGTACACTATTTTCCCCCCTGTCACTCCTTCCTAACTCACTTGTGCTGTTCCCTAACGAATCACTTACACTGGTGGTATCATTTTCCAAGTACCTTGGAGAGCATCTCCGCTTCTTGACAGGTGCATTAGTGCCTTCTACTGAAGCATTACTAGGAGGAGTCCTTACACAATTTATTTCAACTTCTTGCATTGTTATTTGAGATTGAGAAAGAGGTCTTTGGGGCTCCTGTGTAGGGTAGGTGTCCGGTTCCTTGGGATGCGGCTCAAGGAGATCTGTCCGGACTTGCAACTGATGCAAAGGCTGGGAGTGAGGGAGGCATCTGCCTTACCTGTTGTTGGAGTTTGAGTCATCTGCAGAAGTTGATTGGCATTTAGATGAGCTGCTAAGAATGGATGGGCAAGGGCATGGCTCATGGCCTGACTCATACCCTGACTGGGAAATGCCTCTCTGGAAGGTGGCAGCCGCACGGCAGGATCAGCTGGAGAATTGCTGGGTGAATCGTGAGGAGAATCCCTGTGGTCCACGGTACTCCTAGTCAATAAGACATCATACCCCTGAGAATCATCTGAACTGGAGTCTCCGCCCCACCGCCTCCCCCTTCAGACTGTGCCGTGATCGGGTATATGACACTCTGACGTCTGGGCTGTTCCTGTTTACGCCGGTGTCTGGTTCGCTGATCGCCCTCACTTTCACTTCCACTTTGCACCGCGTCGACCATCACTGCCACCATCAACACTACCATCAACAACACCTGCAACCTCATTTACTTCTTTTCCTTTCACAGGAGTGCACAGGACTTCCTGACTACTGACACTCAGAGCATGAGATCGTGTTCTACCCGGTGAAGGCTGTGGGTCATCATGTCTCATCTCTGTTGGGACAGCAGAGCTGTGCTTCCTGCCTTGTGGAGAGACCTGCTGCATGCGAGAAGCACCATGCATTGCTAAACCCTCACCATTGAGCCCAGCAGTTGCTGCAGTAACCAATGCAGCTGCTTGTTGCTGTTGCAACTGTTGGTGCTGCTGCTGCTGGTGTTGATGCTGGTGTTGCTGTTGTTGATGAAGCTGTTGTTGGTGCTGCTGTTGCTGTTGATGATGCTGCTGTAACTGTTGCTGTTGGTGATGCTGTTGCTGCTGTCTTCTTTGCTGCTGTTGCTGTTGGTGATGAGTAGTAAGTGGCGCAGCAGCATGTAAGGCAGCTGGGTTAATTGAAGAAGGGGTTGGAAGTGCCCCAAGAGCAGCAGCAGCGGCAGCATACTGGCGTGCAGCCAGAAGGTTGCGGTACACAGTAGCAGCATCCCCACCACCAGCCACCAGCTGCTGCAATGAGGCCAGAGCTGACCCAACACCAGCTGTCATCCCAGGAGGCAAAGGCGGTGTGGCTTTTGTCTCCCCTTTGCTGGGTACCCGCCGACCCTCTCCACGACTCTCCGATCGGGGCTCGGCGCGGCCATCGACCTGACCTTCTCCGTAGCCACCGTAGCCGTACAGCCGCATGTCACCACTGCCACCTGTAAGTAGCCTTATGGTAAGATTGGTACACAATAAACACATAACTCACATGTGTACAGCATTTCCAACCTTAAGATGGGCACTTTACTAAAAATTATAGACTAAGAATATCTTATTACAATCATGCTAAAAAAACAGTGACCTTAATATATAAACCTTTCATCTTTCTGTCATGCTATAGATCCTAACCCCATAAGATATTTATATATCTTGTTCACACTCATATTATGCTGGGTTTATCATCCTTGGATCACTGAACAGTACAAGACAATTGATAAAACCTCTTCATATATAAAATCTTTCATATTACATCCATTTTCCAATGATTGCAATGAGAATTATAGACCAGTAGCAGAAAATATCTGAAGGAGGGCTGTCCTTAAAGCTGTGAATAAATTATAATGTACAGTATAGCATATTACTGTACTGTACCAAGGTATGTAAGAGAACCAAAAGTGATGACTTTTCCATTAGTGAGTGGCAAATGAAGCCTCAAAATCCTTTATCTGGCATTGTGCAAGTACAGCTGCTCATCTGAGCTTAAAGATCTAATATATTAATTATTTTCCTAACCTTTTGAATGGTACAGTAGAATCCCAGTTATCTGGCACCTATGAGAATTTGAGAGGTGTCGGATAAACAGTTTTTCCAGTTAGTTGAATCTAACTCTTAGGATCCCCCCAATAAATCTTACAATGCATAGTGCTACAGGCTGACCTCACAAATTTGTATCTAAAAAAAAAACCAGACTTCTTTAACACTTATTCCACTCAATATAAAAGCTGCAGCTTAGAAATAAATAAAATATAGTATAATAAAACACTTTAAAATAAGAAAAATTAAGAGCTTGGCTGTATGTGCATGCAAAGTGAACGTGTGTGGAAGCGGTGGGCTATAACTATACTGCCGACTCGCTAGCCCAGCCGCCTCGTATATTGTTGCACTAAACCTATAAAAATTTGTGAAAAAATCATTACAATACTCTAATGTGGCTAAGAAATAAAGAAATTATAATATAAAACTATAAAATAAAGAGCATAGTGTGTATATGTGGGAAGTGAATGTGTGTTGAGGGTTACTGGGCTATAAATGCGTGGCCACACTCCCTCCCATCACGGTATACGACACAACCGCGGCAGCAGCCGCACATCCGTGAGTCGGCTGGTTGACTGCCTGTGGTGTCACTTAGATGATGGTTTAAGTTTGGAAGGAGTTATTTTTGGTACATAAAATATGTGCTCTTGTATTTTATGATTCACTATGTATCAATTATATTTTTTATCATAACAATAAATGTGGCAGCTCATCCCCATTGCTCTGTATTCAAAATTATGATTCTAGTTAATTTTGGAGAATTTTTTATTCTATTATTATGATTTCATTTTGGTGCCAGTTAGTTAAGTCTACCGGTTGCATGGATACCGGATAACCGGGATTCTACTGTACAATACTGTACATATCAGGGAGTTTCATAAAAAGTTTCCATTCTCCACCCAAAAACAAAGGTGTTATTTCTTTTTATTTGGGCTTTACCTCCCAAAACTATCAAGTTCATATATCAGACAAAAAACGTGAAAAAAATATGTAGCAAAACTAAATTCCTAAAATGAAAATTTCATAAAATCATAACTTAAGTTAACAAAGTGGATAAATGTGGAAATTTTATTTTATTTCAAAGGCATAAAATTTTTATTATGTCTGCGTGCATGCATGCACACAGACACACTTAATATTTACCTCTCTGTCTCTGTACCTCTGGTATGTATTTTATAGACTTTGCCTATATGATGGATGTACGTGCCATAAAGGCCACTTTGAGAGTGTGCTATTTCCGTTTTCTATGTTTTGACTAGAATACCTTCCAGTACTAACACCTGTATCATGTTGGAACTATGTAATTTAGATTTAAATAATTGTCCCAGGATTATGAAAGGGTTCAAGTTGCTGCATTAAAGGAATGTACAATCCTCACATCAGCTAATGAATGCTCAGCATCAACCCCATACCCTGCTTTCAGCCAATCACTGCACTGTGGTCCCAACCCATGCTGCCCAACCACTCCAGTTAACTGCTGTATCTTCCCACACGCAAGTGAAGGGATATTACCGTCTGTTTTTGTTCGTTTATTGTTGATGTTAGTGGATTAGTGAATCAATACCAGGGCCTTATATTCTTCCTCGTCCATCATGTCACCATCTGGTGCCAAGAAATGCCCATGCAACTCTGAAACTTGGCTTGTAAACAAGATCATAAAGCAGTGGAGTCTCAGCTAGGCACATCTATCAACACAGAGGATGGTGGTGGCCTGGAGAGGCTCACAGCAAGGTGATGTTTTAAAGTTAAACAACTTCAATCAGCAGAATGATTATCTCCACAAACATAGGGCAAATGTTGACAGGGAAAGAGACAGAGAGAGCCGTCCAGGAAACTAAAAAAAAAAAAAGTCACCATTCACCAGATAAGTTTGCAACGATACCACGAAGAGTTCTTCACCATATATGGGACAAATAAAACAAATGAGAAATGTGAAGAATGAGAGCCAGTGATTCTGGTTCTTCTTAGTGTCAGATCACCATCCTTCTCCACTCTCAGTCTCTCACAAGTATTAATGATAAAATAATTTTCACCATGTCAATGGTGCTCATTTTATTATTGGCCCTTTTTCTGCCCTACCGTTCATCTTGTCAAATACCAACATGTGTACAAACTGTACCATATACAGAAGGCATAACTTGACACATTACAACATAAACATGAAAATATATCATGAGAGAAGCAACGGATGTCAGTTTGTGCGAGACGCTGTGTCAACCTAATCTTTTAACGTCCAAATAGGTATCCCTCGAGATATAAATAGGTTATGATCAAAAAAACATTCGTTAGGTGAATTTTCGTATCTCGAATTGGGAAAATTGGGGTTCGGTTCCCCAGTGACATAAATACCGCAATATCATATCCCCAAAACATGAAATCAGTTCACAAACAAGAAAAACCTACCTAATGATAAATAGTACACAACTACTGTACTGTACTGTATTTTACTAACACATTAAAAACATTAATAAAATACTATCTATTTGAAAATGTACAGCTTAAATCAAAGTTTAACACAGCCGCCAGCAGCGCCATTTGCATACACTGGCTGCTTCATGCTTGACCACCCTCAAGCAACACTACAGCAACCAGCCCGGCCACCTCTGCCAACCAGCAACACTTCCACACACAAAGAAATGTTTATTTCCTTTATGTTTTTGACCTTATGATAATTATTTCTTTTACCTTTTTAGCACATTATGTATGTAGGATTGTCTGTGCATGTAACTATGTAAAAAAGTGAAGAAAGTTAAGTTTATCTATCAGACACTAGGAGTTGAAAAATAATCATAACATAACTCTCTCCAGCTCATCCACCTAACTCTCGCTGCTGCACCAAGAAATGTTCATTCCCTTTATGCTTTTGACCTCATGATTATTTTTCTGAACATTCTGTCCATAGTAATGTGTATGCATGTAACTGGTACAGAGAGCGCCAGGGGGAATCCGCCCCAGCTGACTCCCGGAGGCACGCAATTTGAATTTTTGCTGGGACCCATATTCATATAAGCGGATAAAGCTTTTGTAACAGGAAGTAGTGGTGTCAATTTAGGAAATTCATAAACACACTGTAAGTGAATTTTCGTACCTTGGACGTTCAGATCTTGAGAGATACCCGTCTCAAAATGTCAGTTTGGCACTTACAACCTTCTACAGGCAAGTCCTTATATATACTGTGTGTGTGTGTCATAAAGTTTCCATTCTTCACTATATCTTTCATGAGCAGTATGAATGCAGCTACATTATTTTTTACCATTAATCTGAACTTGTACTTTTCACACAGTCACACTTCAAGTCAAGTATATAATATAAAGTATGTCAAAAAAAAAATCTAGAAAAGGTAAGATTTGGTGTTTTCTGAAAATATAAAACATATCAATAAAAAAAATTACATATTAATGTATACTTTCAGCGTGCCATGCTCTTTCAATAAACTGTTAATTATTATTATTATCATTATTATTGAAATCCAAATTATAACAATCTGAATTACCGAGGGTACAGTGTACTGTACAGTACAGTACCACGTGCCAGATACTGTACTACCAACTGTCTAGGGAACAGAAAAAGTTGTCTGCAACTATACTGTACAGTATTGTACACTCACCATAAAACTGCACAAGAAAGGTGCTTGTCCTACAGTTCCTCATCTTATACTTGTACTGTCTGAAGGGAACATCCCAAAATTCGTTCTAGAATGAATTTTCCGACCGTTATACAAAATTTTATCTCACGACATCTCATTGATACTACACTGACCAGGGTTGCGTGATCCCAGGAAAAAATGAGGTTGGTCTTCAATTGTATGAGTCATGACAGGTGGCCATTATTTCAAGCTGAGGGACAATCAATCATCCTGTTACTCTCTCACCTCTGCCTTCCAATTATTAACCATTCCAGATCTTAGTTCTTCACTCCATAAAAGTCAGCAGCCAACTGAGGTGTGAAATCCCACCTGCCAAACGGTTAGAGCCTACAGTAGAGTGCATTAAGGGCACCTTACACGGTCAATATTTATTGACAATATTTTAGTCAATATCTTTATTATTGACTATAGTCACCATACATGTTCAATATTTTGGACAATCTTGTCAACCCGTCATCAAGTGAGTGCAGACAAAAATGTCGGCTCATAAAACTTGTGAAGCTTTAATCTTGGCTTCTGCACAAGGGAAAAAAATTTAATAAATGGAATAAGTGGGTGAAAGAGTGGCGAACCGCATCTTTCTTACTTTCTTTGAGAATAACTAACAACGTGTCATAAGCTGCATTTTTATTTACCTTGTCCATATAATACTTTGATGTGACATCCCATAACATTGACAATTCTTTATATGCACGAATAAATCATAATCACGCATCCCAAGTGTCACTTTATGTTTGGGTAAGCACACCCGTCGCATTGGGCAGGACAAAGAGTACTGGCATTTGTAGGGATTGCCTGACGTATGAACAATATTAGCCTCACACAGTCAATACTTATTGACAATATTAGAAATATCTTGAAACACATCAATCCAGATTCCATTAATATTCTGCATTGTCAGTACCATCAATATCCTCACACCATCAATTACAGTGTCAATAAATACTGACTGTGTAAGGCACCCTTAAGACTGGTGAATTATGGGTGGGGTTCTATATTTACAGTTTCAGAATGTTCATATAATAGAGCTAGCTGCAAGTCCAGACAAAGTACTGCATCATTAATGGTCAAATAGCCAACTACTGTACCATATCACCATACAGTTTACCTTCAAAAAGTCCACGTGGTGGGAGTAGAATCTTGTACTGTACTGCCTCTGTTCACTAGAACACTGCAGCCTATCAGTGAATTATTATTTCATGGAATTTTAGCAGTGACATTCCCTCCCTCAGGTCTTTCAGTGTGCCCAGTCTTAACTACTGTAGTCACAAACCATAGTTGGCCTTTAGCCACGAACTGGGATTTTATAATAATATTTAATCCTCCATTACTGACTGAGTCAGATGTTATATTCCTGACTATACAGTAAGTCAACCTGAAAGAGCCACAATGCCACTCATGTGATCTTCTGTGAGGGAACAGTACCCACCTTGCCAAGCAGAACCGAACCCTGGGTAGTTGTTGTATTGGAGTGATCTACTCAGCTCCCCCCACAGAGCAGCATTCCCTGCAGCTGTTGTCCCTCCATGACTAGCACCGCTGCTGCCACCACTGCCCGCTGTTACTGCCAGGGCAGACCCCACCGCTTCCATCTCCACGATCGCGACTGCTTCGTTCACACCTCCGTCATTATTAAAGCCTGAAATGCACCAATATTTGTTTGATACAAAAGTAATACACATTATTTATTTACAAAGTTATTGTCATGCTATTTATGATTAACTGTTTAATGTAGGAGAAAACAAGAGATGGTCAATCAAAAGAGAGCAATGAAAGTAGCTAGTATGTCATGCAGCCTGTAACACTTCAGTATGTCATGCAGCCTGTAACACTTCAGTATGTCATGCAGCCTGTAACACTTCAGTATGTCATGCAGCCTGTAACACTTCAGTATGTCATGCAGCCTGTAACACTTCAGTATGTCATGCAGCCTGTAACACTTCAGTATGTCATGCAGCCTGTAACACTTCAGTATGTCATGCAGCCTGTAACACTTCAGTATGTCATGCAGCCTGTAACACTTCAGTATGTCATGCAGCCTGTAACACTTCAGTATGTCATGCAGCCTGTAACACTTCAGTATGTCATGCAACCTGTAACACTTCAGTATGTCATGCAGCCTGTAACACTTCAGTATGTCATGCAGCCTGTAACACTTCAGTATGTCATGCAGCCTGTAACACTTCATTATGTCATGCAACCTGTAACACTTCAGTATGTCATGCAGCCTGTAACACTTCAGTATATGCAGCCTGTAACACTTCAGTATGTCATGCAACCTGTAACACTTCAGTATGTCATGCAGCCTGTAACACTTCAGTATGTCATGCAACCTGTAACACTTCAGTATGTCATGCAGCCTGTAACACTTCAGTATGTCATGCAACCTGTAACACTTCAGTATATCATGCAACCTGTAACACTTCAGTATGTCATGCAGCCTGTAACACTTCAGTATGTCATGCAGCCTGTAACACTTCAGTATGTCATGCAGCCTGTAACACTTCAGTATGTGCAGCCTGTAACACTTCAGTATGTCATGCAGCCTGTAACACTTCAGTATGTCATGCAGCCTGTAACACTTCAGTATGTCATGCAGCCTGTAACACTTCAGTATGTCATGCAGCCTGTAACACTTCAGTATGTCATGCAGCCTGTAACACTTCAGTATGTCATGCAGCCTGTAACACTTCAGTATGTCATGCAGCCTGTAACACTTCTGTATGTCATGCAGCCTGTAACACTTCAGTATGTCATGCAGCCTGTAACACTTCAGTATGTCATGCAGCCTGTAACACTTCAGTATGTCATGCAGCCTGTAACACTTCAGTATGTCATGCAGCCTGTAACACTTCAGTATGTCATGCAGCCTGTAACACTTCAGTATGTCATGCAGCCTGTAACACTTCAGTATGTCATGCAACCTGTACTTCAGTATGTCATGCAGCCTGTAACACTTCAGTATGTCATGCAACCTGTAACACTTCAGTATGTCATGCAACCTGTAACACTTCAGTATGTCATGCAACCTGTAACACTTCAGTATGTCATGCAGCCTGTAACACTTCAGTATGTATGCAGCCTGTAACACTTCAGTATGTCATGCAGCCTGTAACACTTCAGTATGTCATGCAGCCTGTAACACTTCAGTATGTCATGCAGCCTGTAACACTTCAGTATGTCATGCAGCCTGTAACACTTCAATATGTCATGCAACCTGTAACACTTCAGTATGTCATGCAGCCTGTAACACTTCAGTATGTCACGCAACCTGTAACACTTCAGTATGTCATGCAGCCTGTAACACTCACTATCAGACAGATTGCACTGTACAATTTTGAAAGCAAAATACTGTGTGTGTGTGTGTGTGTGGTGAAAGTGTTAATACTGTACTGTACTGTACTGTACTGTACTGTACTGGTAAGGTGTAAACTACAGTACTGTATTCTTTATAAGGCCATGAGACTTACTTGAGAACTGGTTCAGGGCTGTGGCATACTGCATAAAATTACGCTGTCTGTCACCCATTGTGTTTCCTGAAATACAAATAATATAATTATTTATCATTAAAAGCAAACTTTTTATCATTTTTTTAAAATGGTGAACTAAAGTACTGTATGAAATTCCTTTCATGGTGTTGTGTGTGTGTGTGTGTGTGTGTGTGTGTGTGTGTATACTGTATATATATATATATATATATATATATATATATATATATATTTCATTAGCCCAATAAACGGACTTCTACATACAATCAACACCTCAACCCGCCAGGATTCGAACCCACAGCCCACGAGCCCATGACTGTGACCAGGAGCGCTAACCACTGGACCATCAGGATACTAAAAGCAGTCCTAGACTCTGTTATATTTCACAGCCAGATTTAGTAAAACGTTACTCTGACCACCTACGTGATACTGGTAGTCCCCATTAGAGGTTCATGGAGCCATAAGCTCGTTGAACAGGCTTTGTGTGAAATATAACAGAGTCTAGGACTGCTTTTTATATCCCAGTTAGTCCAACGGTTAGTTCGGGTCACAGTCATGGGCTCGTGGGTTCAATCCTGGCGGGTTGAGGTGTTGATTATATATATATATATATATATATATATATATATATATATATATATATATATATATATATATATATATATATATATATATATATATATATATATATATATATATATATATATATATATATATATATACTGTACAATATACTCTAAAGTACAGTACAGTATATCATCATTTGACAAGTGACTTGTGAGGCTGCTCTCCCAAACAACCCCAGGCTGAACCTGCCTTGTCCAAGGAGCAATTTGTATCACTGAGACAAGAATAGATGTAAATGATGTACACTGTATAAACAGCCATTCACCCAGTTGAGCCAGGGATTATGACCCAAGGTGGTGTTTGCTAAGGTCAGTGAGTCAACAAGTATTGTACTGTAATACAAACTGGAACACTAAATCATATGAGTAAAATCCATCAGTAATAAACTTGGTTTTCAGACATCAAGCCTTAAATTCCTGCCCCAAAAAATAATTGCTGTATGTAAACACTTTTAACAGCAGTCTACTGTACAGTACTTTCCCTTATGGCTAAAGGTGATATTTATAACAAAATTATCTAAAGAGAGGAGGAAAGATATTTGCCTACACTCTAAAATGCTTTTAATATTTATACTTACTGTACTGTAACACTGCAGCCTACAGTACAGTATAGCATAAAAATTACAGTATAAAATATCTGAAAAGAGAAAGGAATACAAAAACTACAACAAATTAGTTCAATTCATATTAACACCTTCACCATGTGGATGCTACTTTTAATATTCCATTTGGATAATGCCAGACAATTTTATTCAGCATAGAGCGGTCCCCATACACAAGGGGTTCAACTACTGTACATTCAACAGTTCTGAAAGGAGTTGAACTGTCTGCTTCTGGTTAATATAGAGAAGGGGTGCCCAATAAACTAGCCCCCAATCTAAAAATATATATATATAGAAGAGGATATGCTTTACATGAAACAACAGCTTGAAGAAAAGCCCTGAGATTTAAAAGTACTGTATTGTACTGTATGATCTTGAAATCCTATTTTATCACCGAGTCTGAAGCCATAAGCCCCATGTTACTGGTCATGCCTAATGTAGGATTTAGTCCATTAACCCTTAACCCCCTACTGCAGTTAAGGCCATCCCTTCCTTTCAAAAAGGTGAGAGAGCAGATGCACCAGATGACTTCTCGAGGCAGGAGGTCTAATTAAAGTCAAGTTACCTACAGACCTTTGCACATGCTGTAATGCACCACCTGATTTTATGATCTTGCCATCTTAGGGAACACGACCAAACACAACATAACTGGAATTGGAGTTTTGTTAGCAATGGGGAAGTTTTATGTGGGTTTTTGTGTTATAATCATTCAGAAAGAGAAGAACTAGTTTCTATCATAGCTATATCAAATGTGTTATTATTCATTGTGATTAAAAATAACCTGTTTAGTCAGAATGATGAGAAAAGTGGCTGGCCAAAATTTAGAGAGCAAATCATGACCTGTAATCTCTATATCTCTTTTCTTTTATCGAGTTGTTTGTTAGAGCGAGGTATCTTTAGATGACCACACATCACCATGGCCTTGGAGTTTATCAAGAAAACAATGAAAAGACCAAGTATATATATTCAAAAGGTATTTCAAACTGGCATCAGGTTATTAAAAACAATGTCTATATTTCTATCTCCAAGGAAGACTTGGTACAGTACTGTATATCAGTACACTACAAATATAATCACGGTCAAAAGATTGCTCCCTCCCTAAATGAAGCAGCATCGACCCCAAATGAGATAAAACACCACAACCTCACCAGACGACAGTCAGGATAAGTTAGGAGAATCGTTTCCGTGACTCGGTTTTACCAAGGAGAGCAAACTATATTCGGCGACTGTACTGAGCCTACACCATACAGTATTAAATCTAAACAAAGTTTAATGAGAGAAAACTCCTCTGAATCACATCACCCACTCAGAATATTAACGTTAAGGTGATAATGTCCCTCTACTGTACTGTATTATGTTGACAAGTAATAACCCACATTTCCTACCCACACTACAATACAGTACAGTACAGTACTACAGCATTGCCTGGGTAAAATATTCACTGTGCAAACTAAAATAAAATTAATGGTACAGTAATAAGATTCTTATTTGTATGAAGTCCCGGTTTACATATTTCTCATTTCTTATCTATTCTTCAGGGGTGTTATTGTGGGTAAGAACTGAAGCCAAGCTTTAGCAAGGTGTTACTACAAGACAACTTGAGTATATGTGTGCTGAAAACAATGCCTGATACAGGCATCCCGTTACCAACACGTATTTAGGTTACAGAAATTCGTCCTTACGGTATTCACAAATAATGACCTATAAATCTAGGTGAAATTAAAATTTGTCCTTACATTGGTGAAGGTTTTTCAAAATTTTCAACACAGAAAATGAGTACAAACAAAATTACAAAACAAAATTTCCTGATTGCATTAAGCTTAACAGAGAGATTGATTCTCTCCCAAAAATCTTTGTGGTACCAAGTCATGCTAACAAATTCAAGAAAGCCATTGAAAAC